TTGAAATTTGATATTGAGAATTTTTTTCTTATGATACTTACTATAAGTTAAAATACAGATGTATATGCAATATTATAGTAACAGTAAAGATAAAGAAGCGTGCTATGCCTATGTTTAAAGTGAGTTTGGTCTGCATTGCCATCAACATGATATTCATAAAACAGATATATCTAAAATCTGACAACAATTGGACGGCTGGTTTCGGAGATTATTTGATTAATAAAAATCGACATAGACGGCGAACAGACAGTCAAACGGAAATGGTTGACCTATGTTTTCGTAGTCTAATAGTCTCAAGAAGCAGCGAGAAATACGAAAGTAGCCATTCATGCGATGGACCCAGTTGTAATACTTTCTTAGCTTACGCTCGGGAATTAAAAAATATATAATTGTCACTTTTTATTCAATACCTTATTTTTGCTAAAACTTTGTCTTGGCAACAGTTGTTAAGTGGTTAATATTGTACATATCTGGATCACAAATTTCATGTTTCGTGTTACCTAACTTGATTAACTTGTACTTTGGGGAGTTAATTAAAATTTTCCCTAGATTATAATCCAACAATAACTGTCCGTGATCAAAGCCTTTATTGCCAAGTCTGCCTTTCACATACACCTTTTTAAGAATCATTTTTGAAGCTGTTCTATCCTAATTTAGACCTAATACTTGCGATGAATAATATTTTTAAAACCTCAATATTTTTACAAAAGCCCAGGTGCTCACTATAAAGCCAAGTATTTCATAACATGCTGTAGTGATAACAATAATTTAGGGTCCTTAAATGAGAAACGTTTATCAAACAGAATTCCAAAATTTTTTAAAACATCAAGCCTCTTTAGTAACTATATTTGGAAATATAATAAGTAGCAGTTACATAATGGAATAACTGTTATATATGTATGTAAGCCTTCAATTTCATGCTATTTTGCAACGTTTAATAAGTTCTTCCATAAAGGTGGACAAATATCTAGTAATGCTGCTATTTATTAATTGTGCAAAATACTTTAGGAATATCAACGAATATCAGTACCGTACTTCGTACTTGGCTAATTAGATTTATACAGGGTGTTTTTGAATACATGTACAAAAAAAAAATTGAGCTGTTTAGTGAGCCTAAAAAGTCTGAAAAATTTTTTTCTACCTAATATTAAAATTAATTTGGTGATAATGGACTCCAATCCAGATTTTCGACACCACTGATGAATCACCTTTTGCAGGTACTTAATGTACTTTATAAATCTTAGAAACCGTAACGCCACAAAAATACGAATGGCAACTATAATGACAAGTAATGTGTCAAAAAATATTGTCATGTTGTCTAATGATGAATTATTGTAAAATTTACCAGATGAAGAGTAGTAAGGTAGATATAGTGTGGTACTTAAACTAAACACAGCGAATTTAAATTTAGAAAGTAGGAGATCAAATGATTTTATGGAAACAATATACCTACATAAGGGAGAGAGAGAGAGATAATATGTACTTGAAGTTTTCTGAGTTTCATCTACAAACGTAGAACGTCCAGAAATAATCTGGAAAACCCTTAGGAGTAATCGATTGTCCAGTTGTTAATTTGGGAAGTTTTTCCAGATATCTGTGTAGTATTTTTATAGCAAAATCTTTTGTTAGTCCAATAAAACGCAAATCGGCAGAAGTAAAAACCAGAAAAAAACCGGAAACCGGAAAAAAAGGACTTACGATTTGTTTAACATCTAATTCCAAAACCAAAAAGTCAACCCAATAAAAAAATTGGTCACAAGTTGTTTCGACAGAACTGCCCTCCCACCTGAAGTAGGTATAATGAAACATATCCAGCATTTTTGAAAAACTATAAACTTTGGTTTTACGAACTTTAATTTTTTGATGAAAACACCAAAGTTGAAATAAACGTAAGGATGTATGCAATGTTAAAATAAATGTAAAGAACGTGCAACACTTATGTTTCAAATGAGTATTTAAAATGTTGTAATGACGTCATCAACATTTTTGCAAACACACGCGTATCAACTTGGATTGGTGCAGTGTAGTACTAATAATAACAGTATTGGATTTCCAATTTTTGGGAAAATGGAGTGAGCCGTTTCTGACTTAATTAATAAAATAAACTGACCCATTCATTTATTTTTTGAGCCACCTGCATGAGCAAATCTAAAAAATATAAATTCAATGACAAATCACAAGTAAAAACTCATCATATTTTGCACATTTTGGGTAGAGTTTATTCGGCAAAATTTTGAGATAACGTCATCAATTTTTTTGGGGGAATGAACAGATATATTTTGATTAACAATTTACCATGCTTACAACAACTTTAAAACGTCTGCAAGATTTCAAAACATTCTGTTTTGTAATTCATGATTTAATCAATGAAATAAGTTGACTCAGTCATTAATTTTTTGAGTCACTCTTTATAAACAAATCTAAAAAATATGAATGAAATGATAAATCACAAGTAGATATAGACTAATCATATTTTACACATTTTCGATAGGATTTATTCGGCAAAATTTTGAGGTGGAGTCATCAATTTTTTGGGGGTACATGCAAATATATTTTGATTAAAGATTTACCGTGCTTATTTTAACTTAAAGACATCTGTAAAATTTAAAATTCAAAATTAACGTGCAAAATGTTATATAATTTTGATTTTTTTTCCGAACATCTGGACGTTTCGTGCAAAAACTCAACAGGGATTCATAAACTACACGTATAGGACTATATTATTTTACCCAATTTAAAACCCATTGACTAGGTACAATTTTGAGTTGAGGTGAAGTCATCAAATTGTTGGTGAGGATGATTAAATACAGTTTGGTTAGCGTTTTACGTTTATTTAATAGTAACGGAAACGGGGACATAATTTCGTACTCGAATACATTGTTACGTTGAATGATTAATTGAATTCGGCGTAGGTTAAAACTCAACAATTTATTCCTCACTAACTCGAGTATACACGACTAACTATTACAGCGATTATGTACAAACTATTTCTGGCGCAATTTGACTGGCTCTTCTTAACACTCGCTGGAGTCGTGGTTCGACTGAATCCTACCTGTTCCCGACGGTGGCCTCTATTTAAATCTATGCGTGCCTCTCGATGGATCCAGAACGCCGATTCGAGAGTTTTCTGCGCCCGGAATCGAGACTTCCGGTAAGCCACTCCTAACTTGCCTTTGTGGAACGCCGCGTCGACACCGTCAGCAATGATGACTCACCAGTCAACGCCGTGCGCATGTCCAGAAAGCTCTCGACGGCCATAGGCGTCGTACCGGGGCGGTATAAGGGTGTATTTCGTAACAATATGAAGGCAACCAGTCCGCCGATGGACTCGATCACATTTATTGCAAATTCGATAGAATAGGCATATCTAAAAATATTGCGCTCCTTATTATAGATATGAAAAAAGTTTGTAATAGAGTTATTACGAATCGGTTATCAATTCGTCAATTCAGTAAAATAAAAGAGTTGTAGAACAATACTCCTACGTTTATGAAAAACGGAGGTTCTTTGCTTCATGTCAGTAAGTGTCGGTGTTCCAATGTAAGATTGCCGTGTAAAATCTAATTGAGTTATTAATTGCTTCTGTTGACAGTTGGCCTCCTTTTGGCGTTTATTTATTATGGAAAGTGTGAGCTTACGTCAAAATGATGCTTGGCTCAGGTCTATTTTTTGGTGTTTCTTAGTATTTTTTTAATTTTAATATATTTTTTTAATTTTAATATATTTTTTATAATAATAATAACAATAATAAAAATTATTATTATTGTCAAACAGAATTTACATTGAAATAAATGTGACAACATTAAATTGATAAAGAAGTAAGCACAACGACAAAATTATAACTTGATTATGTTCACAGAAAGTTTGTAACAATAATGTGTCCTATTGTGTACACTGTACAGGTAAACTTTCTGTGTAAGTGTGATACTCAGTTTTGTTAAAATCTAATTTTAAAATTGGTCTATGATCATTTAGGTGTAACTTTCCTCGCCCCTAGAGTATAATTGATCAAATAACGCTTCCTCGGAAAATAAAAAAAAAATTGGGAATTTCATTTCGTTTAATACTAAACACTATAAGTTAAAATAAATAGGTATATATAAATACCGGTAAAGAAGTATGTAATATTATGTGCAACTTTCGTAAATTATGCCTAAAATTTCGCAGTAAACAATACAAACGTCAAACATCAGATGAGAACGGCAAATATTTGGGGAAGTAAACACTGGTGAGACATCCAATAGTTTACACTCCTTTCTTTTTATTTGTTTTTGTCAAGTTAAATAGCAAAAATGACTTCCAAGAAGGTATGTGCCATAGAAGGACAGCAGCAAAAAACAAGACACAACAAGAATTTTTCATAGCTCTTCTCTGTATACTACATACATATAAGTAGGGGAACGAGGGGCTTGTTGTAACAGTTTTTAGGAAAACGAATATAATTTGGTATCTACTAGCTGTTTGACCAGCCCCGTAGCACAATTTTCTACATTTAATTACATTTCGACAAAATTATGTGGCTTAACGTCAAAATGTGTAAGGAATATCAAAGCTGAATAATTTTTGAACTACACGCAAAACTAAAAGTTTTAAATTAATTAATAATAGATACGAAAAACCAAATTTTACTAAAGCAATATTTTTAGGTACTTGGCCAAAACGAAACACGTGCACACATCCACTCACTGCGGTGGCTGAAGGAAGTGGTTGTGATGACATGATGTCTTATGGTGCAAGAATTAAATTCAATAAAAAACCTGACGTTAAAGAGTTTAAATTCCGGGTAAAAATTTAGTGTTGCAACATACCCCTGTTACAACCCCTACTTCGTATTAAGCGTTCATGTACTTAAGTTTATATTTATTTTATAGCAAATGTAAATAAGTTGTGTTTATGCAAAATTCTGATAACCAGTCTTGAAAAGATAATCTTTTGTCCCTTCGCTAAAAATAGGAGTGTATAGAATATAGATATATATTACACATGTAAATATTGATGTTTCAGTCACTGCTGTAAATTGTAGACATACTGTTGTGACTTTATTCTTGAAGTATGGATTTTACGTTCTATTTTGTTCTAGCGCTTGTTAATTTAGCTTGGTGTAGAGAAGAAGTATGCTTTAGAGACATTTCAAATATAGACACATCTTGCCATCCCGGTACGATAATATAATTTTTCTGAATTAATATGATGTACATACTTTCTATTTTTAGACTATTACTGGAGAGATTTCAAAGATAGGATTCCACCAGATGCGATCGAAGGTGGGATGACAGCTTCTGGAACACCAATATATGTGGCTCAAGTGTACATATACAAAATTGGATTGTTACCAGGTATGGTTTTCCCTAACAAACCTAACGCTGTAACAAATGCTCATGGCAAAAAAATGGAATCTGCTACCGACGTGAAGGTATCCTTTTTTACTAATATTACAGGTAACTATAAATAAGTTATCTCTGTATATATCTGTAGGTGCTATGCAGCACAAATAAAAACAACTTTAAATGGGTACCCACTAAAAGTGAAGAATTAAACCTACTTACAAACACTCATCTTGTTGTTGGTGGTAAAGAAGGCGTAGAGCTACTGTATGTTGGACGAGCTTTAGATGACGGATCTACAGTTTTGGGAAAAATATTCAAGCATAACTTTCCGTATAGGGGACTATGGGTTCCAAGTCAAGCACGCGAGGCTAACTATTTGCATTATGAAATCTTAACTTACGTATGTCCTACTAACAAAGTTATTGTAAACCCCGAATAAAGTGTATTGTCATGATTATGTCATATCAAACTTCGTCGTAAAACAATTTTATTGAAAAATTTAAAATGTAATCGCATCATAGGGTAAATGTGTACAAGAGTACGCACTTAGTGTAAAACTGTCAACAACTTTTTAATTTTTTTGGATAGACAAATTTTATGATATAGGTTCGTTATATACATGTTTAGAGATCAGATATATTTAATTGTACGCCCCAACACCACTATCTTAGACAGTTCATTGCACAAGAGTGCGCATTTGAACGCTTATGAGTACGCATTACATTTTATGAAAAAATATTTGTTTCTAAGGTGAAAATAAATGGGAATAAGTGACTACAGACTACACATAAAACGGAAGACCTATTTCTTCGTACTCTAGGGGTCTTGAAAAGACGAGAAAACGTAAAAATAAGAGTCGGTCGACGGACTCGATTACAACACGCTCAGGAAGTAAAAATAAAAAAAAATCACCATAACCACCACCACACAACTTGAGAAGCAGTACAAAGTAGTAGAGTTAAATAATTCATTATCGTATGATATGTATCTCCAAGACTATTAGACTACGTATTGCAAGCAATACGATACCTCGCTGCGCACTCTTGTACATTTGTACATAACCTAATGTTTTCAAAGTTAAAAGCTTTTGATGGACAGAAAGTGTAAAACTGTTAGTGTATAACGACACCTTAAAAGTTACAACTAATGAAAATTATTACTGTAAAATAAAAGAACTGGTACGTACCTTACAAAAAACTAAAACTATGAGCGGTAAAAATTACATCCACACAACGTGTGAACATAAAATCGTCAGTACGACCAAACTATAAACTATATTCAGGTCACTTTTGCACCTTTATCTCAGGTTTAACATTAAATTCTGAATGGTATAACTTCATCTTACCCAGATGGCACTAATAAGCAGAAATCATCAGTGCGTACTCTTATACATATGCGCACTCTTGTACACATTTACCCTATTATTAAAGTTTGCCGTAACACAATTTTATTAAAGAATGTATCACAGAAATCAGAATGTTTCCAATCTTTTATAGGGATGCTTATGTCGTCATACTTATTTTACTGATTTATAATACAAACAAGTCGAAGATCTTATTTATCGTCAACGTTTCACAAAATTTCTTATCAATAGGAAAATACCTATTGGACATATTCGCTCTAAATATAATACTTACCTATTTGTGTCGACATTCGAAGAGCAACAAAGATAAGCAGTGCAAAGTTTGGTATGAAGTAAGATAAGATAACTGTTCAATACTGGAAGAGGTCATTACCATATTATATTTTCCTTCCAGAACTTAGGAATTACCCAAATGTCACTTCTTATGAAATTTCAGTTTTTGATAACAATACAGTTGATGACTTGGATGTTAGATAAGTTTTTTACTTTTATGGATATAACGGAGAGTTTGACTTTCATTTGACCGTCCATTTACTGCAACTTTTCCCAATTTGTGAAGTACATATACATATATTTAGTTCAGTTTTTCTATAATAATTCATATCTAGTAGCTAAGTATCGCTTTCGTATTACACCTCAGTCTTCTTGTTCTTTAGAGTTTTCTTTGTTTTGTCTTATTATATTTTCCTTTCAAGGCAGCTGGAGATAAACTCGTTTTTTACCTCATGAGTCCAGGCTAAGAAAATATTGAAATATGCTCTATTTGGAGAATGGCTGATTTCATGTTTTCTCTACGTTTCGTAGCTCCTAGAATATGAAAAGTAGGTCTCCTTTTCCGCCTCTGTGTCTTTTGTCCATCTGTTTACCTATCTGTCGTCGATTGTTGTAGGTACTAAGCAGATTAACGTGAAATTAAAATTTGTTTGTCTTTACATAACAAAAAATTTATAACATCATCTCATTCTATAGTAGCTAAGTAATTCTATTGCAAAAATCCAAAGTAGTATACCTGCGATTTACATCTTTATCTTTACCTTACGCACGTAGGTTTTTCCAATAAAATTTTGCATTTTACCTTAGAAACTACAGGTAAACCTGTCTGATTTTCTGATCACACTTTAAGATTCTGATGTGTGCTAATCGTCATTTCTTTAAAACAATTTTGCAAAATAAATGTGCAGAGCAGCATATGTACTTATATGTAGGTTCATAATCTACTATTCTTTGGAGCTGTGTACACAGGATAATTCAACATAATTAATAAATGAAGTATTAACTGGTGTTGCCACAAGCGATGAGCGGTGTTACTACAAGGTTACAGTGGCCCATGGCTCGTTGCATTTGATTTCAGACATGTAACACGAAAATAGCGTACGTTCGAATACCGCAAAGGGTTTTTTTGTTCCAGGGATAACCAAGTTGCGTCCCGTTTGCCTTATTTAATGAAGGTTCGATTTTTGAGATGATCACGTTCAGTCCCGTGTCGGGTAATTTGTTTATTAGGAGGTAGAGAGATTGAGCAAATCCACTTACATAAACGTTTAATGTTTTTATTTTAGATATTTTTAAATTCATCTCAGTACTATTACATTTTCTAAGCGATACATTAGTATCAGTCAAAATATAAAAAAGTATACTCGGCATAAATTGAAAAGATGAACAATTTTCTTATTTAAAATAAAGTTTGAAAATTTAAGCAACATAGACTTTGTAAAAACGGTAGAAAACTATTTTAAAACTGAAAAATAAAACTGATTTTAACAAATAATTACAGGTATCTTGGAACGCAACTCTACCGTCTATGGGACGCTGTTCGACCATCTTTTCGAAGGACTAGAAATTTTCGGATACAACTCGATTGTTCCTGCTATTGTCTATATTTTTGGGAAAAATGTGCTTAATTAAGTAATTAGTTCTCACCCCTCATTGTTTCCTTTTGGTTATCTGCGTTAAATATAATTCACAATATTATACCCACTTGTGAAGACCGCGCCCTTGGAATTGGGGCTGTAGCGAAGGAAGTTCTGTTGAAATAACCTCCGATCAAATTTTTACTTCCCGAACGTAAGCTAAGGAAGAATTGTAATAGGGTCTATCGGGTGACTGCCCATTTTCCAGTTTTCTCGACGTTTTATTTTCCCTTTGAGTACGAAAAAATAGGTCTCCGTTACAGTCTGTATACATGTCTGTCTGTCTGCATTCTGTTGTCTGTTACACTGGTCAACAAAATTCAATTTTTTCTCTCTAACTTTGACATAATTGTAATGTTTTCGTTTAATTTGTCTCTGTGTTTGTAACAAGGGGCATAAACCTTACAACTTAGCTCAATTAAAAAGAAAAATGCATATTTGATGTTAAAAACAAAAAATCAGGTAAAACAATTTAATTTTTGTATCTTTAACGGCAAAAAGTGACCTATTAACAAAAGAACAACCATAATTAAGAAAAAAACAACGATTGTAGTTTAAAAAACGAAAAAAACAAAAGAAACAGCTAAAACCGACGTTTTTTTGGTTGCCTCCTATAGATTTCATTGGAGATCTCTCGCTTGATGGTCCCGCAGTATTCTGCGAGCCTTTAGGTGTTCCATCGATCTTGGTAACGTTTTTCTATCGACAAAATGCCCAGATGGAAGCGTTCTCCATGTCCGTCACTCACGTCGTCATAATTTTTGGGGAAAAAATCAAGATGCGAATACATAAAATGCACTTTTAAGAATATGTTAATTTTAAATTTTTTATATGATGATAACATGTGTTCTACTTACTAAACGTAGTTTTCTTATTGTTTCCCAAGAAGTTTGTAGCAATTTGATCACAAAAAAATAAACCTTTTAGAAAGTTTCCTATTACTTAATAGTACGATTTTTGTATTTTTCAAAGGATAATATTTTAAGATTACTTTTAAATGAGAGCTAAGTTTTGGTTTAGCCGTTTATAATATCATTTAAAATTGTTAATTAAATAATAATTGGCTGCTATAATAAAAGTTAGAGTTTAGCTGTTGACCAGTGTATTAGACAGATACTCTCCGAAACTATACCTATGTATGTTAAGAATGTAGAGATGGTGAAAGACTAACCAAGATTCGTCTAATCGGCCCCATCAATAGTGGGATGACGTCATCTTGCTAGATATCCAGTTTAAAAAAAACAGTGTGTTGAATAAACTTAATGTTCATCTTTCTTGTGTTGAGGGAACAAAATCAATAAAATTCCATTTCGTTTTAACACAATTATGATTTATACACCCAATTACGCGGTTTGAGAACAAAAACTAATACTTTATACAGCAATATCTCTACTTGTGATTTTGACTTCATAGCTTTAACTGAGACTTGGCTAACCGACAATATCTCAAACAGCGAAATGTTTCCTTCCCATTATGTCGTCTTCAGAAACGGCAGAAACTACAATTTAGTTAATTCTTTAAGAGAAGGTGGTGTATTGTTGGCTGTAAAAAATTATGTCACTTGCACTCAAGTTGATCTAACATCCATTATTAGAGAATTACCAACTATCAACATAATATGTGTAAAAATTTCATTACCTAACAAAAATTATATCTTTGTAGTTACAATTTATATTCCTCCTTCCACTTCATTCGAAGATTATGAACTTTTTACGGATTTGTTAAGCAATTTAGAAGCTATTCACACAAACAAATTAATTATTGTGGGTGACTTCAACATTCCAAACTTTGTCTTGAACTTAACCGACAAATTCTCCACCTTGTTAATCAATTTTACCAATTTCATTGATCTGACTCAATACAATTGTATTCGTAATGCAAACGACCATATCTTAGATCTAGTTTTCTCAAATTTAGTAATTACTAGAGAGCGGAAAATATGCAGCAAAATTTTGGGAAATATGATCATATGATATGCACCAAATTTATGCAAATATGCAGTAACTGTCTTAATATATGCAGAGATATGCAGTTGCATATGCTCCAAAAATTAAAAAAAAGATTAATGAGCGAACTAAATTTATTTACTAATTACAAAAACAGGTTTCCCGAGCTTACGTTTTATTACAAAAAATACATAAAAAACTTTGCAAAGTGTTTAATTACATCTCACTAACACATACATCACATTTTTAA